AAATTGTATGATCTCAGAACCTATCTCACTTAACATGCACTTATATTGAATCACCATATAAATTCTGTGAAAAAATTATTTAACAACACCGTTAATCAACATGCCATTATTACAGCTGTAGGGTGAAAAGGACCAAGGAACAACACCCTATCTCTGACTTGAACCTAAGTTATGTGCTCTTCCATGCTTCTGACTAAAGGCTATTGAATGTGTGTTTTTATGTATGTTATGATAAGTGCTTTATGAAGACACAAAATATGGATTTGAATATAACTTATAAAATAAATATCCAGAATTGTTGAAGAGATCGTACGGATATTGTTTGATAAATAAAGTCTGTAGTACTGTTTAGCATTTGAGTTCCTTGGAGTCACTAACAAGGAATCACCCTCGTAAAAATGTGTTAAATGATTCTTTATGTATCTCTTATTCATTTTTCCATGGGATACTTTCTCTGTTGTCCAATAAATAAAGATTTTTGTTCATGTTTCTCACTCACATGAATATATGCACTCTCTCAATAATATGTACACACAATACACATACACACACACACAGAGGGAGGGAGAGAGAGAGAGAGTGAGAGAGATGGAGAGAGGAAGAACAGATTCAGACTGATAGAAATGAAAGATAGTAACAAAGTAGACACAGGGAGCATGAAGTAGAGAACTTAAATCTGCCCTTATTCTTGGCCTAATGACATCAACGGGATATTTTTGATCCTTTCCTTAATGTGACATGGAATGTTTACTTCTAAATCTGAGTTTATTGTGAATGTGTTTAAATCTACAACTTCTTGAATCTTGAGTGGGAAATCACTAATTAAATAAATCTACTCAGTTTGGTGCCCTGAGTTGGGGACATCTAATGTGTCAGTGGGGCATTTTGGAGCACTCAGCTTCAGAAAAGTGTAGAATAAAATCAGAAGAGGGAAGATCTCTTGGTGAGGATATTAACTTTAGTCATCACTGTTATCAAAAGCATCGGGGGTCTGCACATTTACCATAAGCTTTTCCCCCATCTGCCTGTGTGGAATAGAGTTCCCAGAGTAAAGGGAGACTCACACTCATGTCTGAAGCATTTTTGCCCTAAGGAAGCCTTCTGTTTTTCCATGTTTCTCCTCCTCTATATAGTTCAACTGTATTCCACTTCAGTTTCTCCACAAAGAAACCAGGGCTTTTGGGGATCCGGCCACACATCTGACTTCCCACTCTGACTCCCAAATTTTTTTCACTGTGGTTATCTCTGCCCCTTAAGCACCACTATTTCTAAGTGTCTTAACTGAGGTTATGTTCGTGCATTCTTGGGAATTACCATAGCACCTATTTTCAACCTAATCCCATATTGTCTCTCTCTATGAAGACATGTCTTTCATTGCTCTTCTACTGCATCCCTACTCCCTCAAACATCCTGCTTCCTGATGCTCTCATCTTCCCTCCTTTATCCCTAACCATCCTCACCAATCTCTAGTTTACCCAGTTGATCTCAACTAATTTACCTTCAGGAATATTTTCTTGATCCCAAACTTTTTGGCCTACTCCCAGACAAATGACAATTAATGCCATACATACACTGCTCTGTGAAAATGAAGATAAACTTTTCTTGTTCATATACCAAACTACACCTTCCTTCCATGCCCACACTGCACTATTGAGTCTTAGGTATGGCTCTTGGTAGAAAATCATTACAGCTGAGAAAATTCTATGTGACTTGGCTGGCTTTTTAGGATGAAAATCCACTTTAACATACCTGGAGACCTCATATTTATGTCCTTCTTTTTTATGAAAGAACGTTATACTATGAGTTTCCATGGTGGGGACAGATCTTATCAATGAAGAATCAGCTGTCCTGTGCAGGTTCTGTGGGACTTAAACAATTCTGTATGCTGTGCCACTTTGTATGTGATATAATGGTGAGCAATTATAGGCATAGATTTAAAAGTTTGCTTCTTCACTATAACTTTACAAGAAAAAGATAGGGAAATTTCACCTTCATAGTGCCTACCTATAATAATTCTCAACTAGTACAGAGATTTCAGTGGAAGGTATTCCCACAAGGAATGTTAAATAGACTAACTTTCTACCTGTATATTTTGCAAAAACGCTTGGAAATAACTCATAAACAATTTTCAAAATCCATAATGTATCATTATGTGAATGACATATTGTTGGTTGATTTGAAAGCTGGTACGCTGGAAAAGATTTTTTAATATTCGTATTAATGCCTTGATATTTCCTGGTATCCATTGGGTCCATATCCACATTACCCACTCGTCTACAGAGTTACTACATATAATTACTGCATAACAAGTAACTCTGCCTAGGATAAATGAACATTTTGTTTTTAATGGACTTTTAAGACTTTTCAGGGAATCATGTATTTGGTATAGTCCAGCTGCCTTGAGAGACACATGGCATTGGATTTCAGGGTAGAATTTGTGGCTTGGGGGTCACTGTGTACTTTTCATTTCATAGAAGACAATACCCTTCCTCAGGCAGTGAAACTTCCAGGCCACTGCTGTTTCTCCATCTTCCCTAGAAATTTTGAATCACACAGAAGCATGACAAGAAAATTTTTCTTAGACAATAATGTTTTATGCCTGTATAACAACATGGTCATTGTATCCTGGAAAATATTATTGTAATATTTCCAGTATGTTTCCAGTATGTTTGTAAGCATTAGATCACAGAAGTGTTTACCTTCCTGACAACATATAGAGGTTGATGTTACTGCTTTAATATATGATTTCAAATCATTTGTCAAATATTACTACATTTATATGAAGATTTGTTATAATAAGTGTAGATTGTTTTTTAAATATTTTTATTATTTTAATTTTAAATAGCTTGCTTTACATGCCATTCTCAGTTCCCTCTCCCTCCTCTCCGCCCGCAAGCCCTCCTCCCCCCCCGCCATCCCTCCACATCCTCCCACCCTATTGACAATTCCTTCCAAATAGGGGATATCTAGTGTCTGTCATTTCACTCAGGGTAGGGTCCAGGCACTCCCCCTAATAGTCCAGGCAGAGAGAGCAACCCTCTTTGTGTTATGGACACACGATGTTTATTAGTATTCGAGGGATAAACACTGATCCACTGCTCAGGACCCCATAGGTAGCCCAGGCCTCCTCACTGACTTTCACATTCAGGGGTTCTGGATCAGTCCCATGCTGGCCTCCCAGCTGTCTGTCTGGTGTCCAAGAGCTCTCCCCTGTTTGGATCAGCTGTCTCTGCTGGTTTTGCCAGGCCATTCTTTCTGATACAGTGTTTCTCTGTGAATTTTTGGAGCCTATCCTTGCACTTGCTCTGTAGACCAGGATGGCCCCAAACTCAGAGAGATCCATCTCCCTCTGAGACCTAATTGCTGGGATTAAAATTGTGTGACAGCAACGGTGGCTACCTGTAGGTTTTATACCAAGTTAATGATGCTATAAAATGCCCCCCTCCTGTTCATGCGACTTGTTTGTCAACACAGAGTTATGAATGGTCAATGAAAGAGCAGAGATCTAATTACTGTGTGTCTAATTACTAACGTCATAATCCTAGTCATGGTGGTTTGATAACCCTTACTCAAGAATTTTGTCTGAGACATAGTGTGTGCCTGTATATTGCACTCTCATGCTTTGGGTTTCCCTTCTCCATGAAACTCTCCAAAATGAAGTATCTAAGAAAAGTCACCTTTGAAGGGAATGACTTCATGATGGAGCTGCACATTAAGTGCAATTATCTTCCATTGGAGAGAGGTAAATCCTTGTACCTAAGGGCTTAAACAGTCATATAATTACCTATGTCTTGTGTACATATTGATACTCACTTAATGGTCACCTTAGAATACAGTACACAAATGTGTATTTGTGTGGTCGTGAGAATTGTGTCAATGTAACACAAACTATGATCATCTGGGAACTGGAAAACTCAGTTGGAAAAATGTCCCCAACAGATAGGCCTCTGGGCAAGCTTAAAGTGGCATTTTTGTAATACTGGATTGGCACAAATTCCTTCATGCATATTTTTATATTTTACTTTATTGTTTTAAATTTCACTTTACATTCCAATCAAAGTTCTCCCTCCTACCTCTTCAACTGCTTCCCTTAGCTCCCACACTGCCCCATGTACCCCTTCCAACAGATAAGGGCTCAAATGGGGAGTCCACAAAGTCTGAAACATTAAGTTGGCCAGGACCCAGACCCTTCCCTTTGTGTTAAGTTTGATCATCATATATCTTCATAGAAAATGGCTCTTACAAGATAGCTAATGTACTGGGTCTTCTTGCCAGAAGCCCCTCAGACAACCCAATATTCAAAACTGTTTTGCACACATGGAGGACCTATATCTGTCCCATGGAGTCTCCACAGATGTTGGTCCAATGTTCATGAGTTCCCACGAGATTGGTCCAGCTTTTTCTGTAGATTTCTGATCTTGACCTCTATTGCTGATGTATTCCCTGCTCCCTCCCTTCAACTGTATTCCTGGAGTTTGGCCAGGCACCCGAACTGGTCTTTCCCTGTAATCATAATAGTGACTACTCCAACTATCTTCAAAGAGTCTTCATTCTGTAATTGATGGAACCAGACACAGATACTCAAAACCAAGCACCAGTACAAGTTCCTTTATATTTTTGAGGAAGGAAGTGAAGAATATTCCCTTTGAAACAGGGAAAGGGAGGTCGCTGAACAGGAAGATACTTTATGAAGACAGTATAAAGCCTACCAAAGAGAGTATCTGAAAAATTCATCCCTACTACCCTCTCTCATCAGCTTCTCACTTCTAATGACCCTTTCTATCCCCTCCATCTTTCATGTCTCTTCTATCCTGTCTTTCCTCCCCTCCTTCGCTGTCTTCTCGCCAACTTTCCTGTTTCCTTACTAAGTCTTTCCCTCTTCCTCATTCTCACTCACTCCCATATCCTTGAGTGTGATATAGAAAGGCAGCCCAGACACAGAGGAGTCCATCACTATTTGCCTCTCTGAACAGGCTCTTGTTTGACCACATCTCTGTGTGCTATTTGTGCCCTCTGCTGGTCCTTAGATCCCTGAAGGGAGGTTTGTGTCTGAGCTCACAGTAGCATTCGCTCACTGTGTCTCTTGCACAGTAATACATGGCTGTATCCTCAGACTTGAGACTGTTCATTTGCAGGTACATTGTCTTCTTGGCATTGTCTCTGGAGATGGTGAATCGGCCCTTAACAGTGTTGGCATACTCGATGTAACTACTGTCATAATTAATGAGTGACACCCACTCCAGTCCCTTCCCTGGAGCCTGGCGGACCCAGTGCATGCTATAGTCACTAAAGGTGAATCCGGAGGCTTCACAGGAAAGTTTCAGGGTCTTTCCAGGCTGCACTAAGCTTCCTCCAGACTCCATCAGCTGCACATCACAATGGAAACCTGCAAACACAGAGAATGGGAGTCAGAAAACTGCCACAGAAGCCATTTTTTCTCATGAGAACAGAATACATGGCATCTCAACTCCATGAGTTACCTTTTAAAATAAAGACACAGAAAGCAAAGATGAGCCCCAAGTTCATGGTCAGTGGTCTGCTCTGTGTTGATCACACAATGGTAGGATCTGGAAATTCAGACCTGGGCTCCTGGGCCAGAGCTGCATGGTCTGAGCACGGCTGTTTTTCATGGGTTCAGAGAGAAGCCTTATTTGCATGTCTTCCTCTTGTAGCCGGCTCTGGAGTTGGACCTTGGGAGAGGGATGTGATCAGAGCAGATATAAGACATCAGATTCACTCATGACCGGTGCAGACATTGACAGAGTAATACATCTCTGTGTACATATTTTCCATGTTAAGGATTCCCCACAATTTGCTTAGTTCCTTTTTAAGCATAGGCATATCACACACTGTGTTTCCTCACTATCATGTCCCCTTAACATTAGTGGGAAATTAAAAAAATCCACACAGAGTTATGTTTCCAGATATGTGCTCAGTCTAAACCTAATTATGGTGGACATGGCTTCTCCCTGAGGTGGATCATGGGCAGAGTAATATGTGCCCCTAGCAGAGCTCCTTCCCTGTGACAGGAACCCTTGAGACTTTCTGAATTTTACTGCTTTCTGAGAGATGCCGTTCTAGGGCCACAGGAAGTTTGCAAGTGAGGCATTCCATGTTACTACTTGTCTTTCTGTAACTGGTTGCCTTGGAGATAAGTATATATTTGCAGCATTATTTTACATCTTGAAGTTCTCACTATTATTACTTGATTGTACACAATTGGCCTTTACTTTTCCCAGATCACATCAGGCAAAACATGACTGTCTTCATGTCATCTTAGGTCAGTTTTTATTTCTCCATATTAATATAGTCAATTCAATGGGGACAGTTAATAAATTTTTATAGCACACAAATTTTGACATTAATACAGTGTTGTTTTTATTTTTCCACAGTCTCATTCTTCCTAACTGCACATCCCCTTTCTCTCATATACCCAACTTTTCCTTACAAAGTTCCAGTATTTTCCTTACAAAAATCCAGTTCTTTGCTCCACTTGTCCTTCACTGAAGATATCTTTTCCTGTCGTGACTTCCATTCTACCTCCAAAGCCTACAAAGCAGAATCCAGAACACCCAACAGTCCCAATCTCAAATTCATAATCTGGATTCTCTACATGACAGTAACTGCCTTTCCCAATCTTCAGTATGCTGTGTGATATAGGATTTACACTATCACTCAAGTTCCTCCAAGGCTAAGAGAAAGCCGAGGAAGAGGAGGTGGGAAGAATATATAGAGCAGATCACAGGGAGGATTGTTGCTAAATGTTGTCTTCTGGAAACGACAGGGTTATCACAATCATGAACTCTTCATGGCCTTTGTCATTTGTCACCTGTATAACACTAACTATGGTCAAGGCAGCCAAATGCTATTATAGATAGGGCTGATAATTTCTTGGCCCTACTTCTTAGTGAGGAACAGTTGGAAACATATTGTTCTGGACAAGCGATGGAGCCACTTGTTTTGGAGGTTATTGTCATTGTGCTTGATTCTACCCTCATGCACCTATGGTCAACACTAACTGTGCTTATATAAGTTTGTTAGAACTCTACTTGGGGAATATGTGGGGGATGTTGCTTAGAAAACTAAGACATAAGTGTCCTATTTTGTAGTATACATGCTGAGATACTCGAGGAAGGAAAATATTAAAATCTGTATATCTGATGTTTAAAACAGTAAAATCAGAAAGCAAATGATTAAGGGAGGTACTTCATACAAATAATTGAGTTGGCCACTTTATCTGGCACCACCATCCCACTCAACTAAGAACTGGTGAGATTTTTCCTTTACTTCTATAAAACACACATGAATTGCAAAATATCTACTCACATATGTTTACCTGTTACTTTACCCTAATGAGACAATATATCATCAAATAGAATTAGAGAAAAGCACTACAGGAATACCTGTCATTGTTTTCCTATCCTTTCAGGACACATTCTGTAAGAATACTTGTTCTGGTGTTGGGTTTTACACATGTGTCACCTGGGAATCATTTTTATTTATAATTCTCTAGAAGGAATCACAGCACACACTGAAGACAGGTGAATTTCAAATGTGTCTCCATACACTGTTGTTACTTCTGCTCTACGTAGGGGGGATCTTTGCCTGATCTTATTTGTTCAATAATGTGCATATGTGAAGTCATTTAATACATATTGCTAGATTTTCCATAATAATTTCTGTATATTATTGGTCTTAAGTGAAATCCTTGGGAGTAGAACTGAGAGTCATTGGCTCTGATACATTTTAGGTCCAACAAACGTTCCCTGCTCATCACATTTCAGGAGCAGCCAGTTTTTGTATAGTACATATGAGACCTTGATTCAAAATGTAGTATTTCAAAATTACCTTTCTCATTTTGATTACTAGTATTTGAAACATCACTACTCCCAGTTAAATTTTAGGACACTGTTTCTCTCATTCTAGAGACCAATTTCATTTTTCTTCTCAAGAGAAACTCATTCCTATCATTTGTCTAAGGTTTGAGGCATCAGAACAACTGCTAGTATAGCTCAGTGAACTCCCAGTTCAGAAGTGAAGTCCTCACTAGCAGACGTCTCTCCTCCTTCCATCATCTGATTGGTTTCCTTAAAATCAAAAGAATAAAGTACCTGTAATCTGTAATATCTATGCCACTTACCCTAAGAAATAATGAAACCAAGTTCTGAGGAGATGGATACAACTGAGCCCTGTGCTGTGTAAACGGGGGTGTGTTCTTCTAAAACATTAGCAAACACTGTGTGGGTCTCTCAGAATATCACACACACATGGTACTCTGAACAATTTCACATCTGTATGAGTAGACAAAGGAATCACAATGGGGTTCAGGAAAGCAGGGTGCAATACCAATTAATGAAAACCCAAAGATTGATATTGGGGTTCAAACTTCAAGCTGATTTTCAGTAAAGCAAGTACAGAATAGAAATCCTCCTGAGCCTGACGTTGCTTTGCATTGGGGGAGGTTCCTGAGAGGATAAAAGGAGGCACACAGCAAAGTTTACAATTTTCTATCCTTGTGTTTCTCAGAGGAGTTGGTGGTGAAAACTCAGGAACATTCTCTTGATCCTGGTTGGATTTCTATTCTTGATAAACATGTGATTATTGGATTTACAATTTGCAGACCTTATAAGCAAAACATGGTGATGTATATAGTAAGTGAGTACACATTCATTTAGTTTTGAAAGACAAGCATACCATGTCTTCAACACATTTTTATAACTCTAAAACTTCCAATAAAGTAGTTGCTGATCAAAACTCTTGCATAAGGGACTGCTCAATGTTCATTTTCTTGGTTTCTGTGCATTTGTCTTATTGTATGACTAATTCATGAGAAAGCATCTCCCAATAATTTAGTAAGTGTGATTTTCCATGTTTTCTGGGAGGAAGGCCATAGGATTGATTAGGGTAAAATCATTCTAATTTCAGATCTCATCTCCTCACTGAGGAACATCCCAGCTGGTGTCTATTTTTAGCTCCTTGTAACATGTAGTTTTCCCCCACCAGATGCTTTCCCCCCCCACCAGCCGCTTGAGCTCTGCCATAGTTGCAGTCCCAAAATAACACAAAGAATGCTATATTATTTATGAAGCTGTTGGCCATTTGCTTAGTTTCTTACTGGCTATCTCCCATAATTGTAAATCTATGTATTTATCTTACCGGAGAAAGGGTTTGGACCTTTTACTCCTCTGGAGGCTACATCGTGACTCCTTGTGTTTCTCTTTCTCAGAATCCTCCTCGACACCTAGTCCCACCTATCATATTTCCCTATTGTCCAACAGTGCTTTATTCAACAACGAATGAGAGTCAGATTTCAGAATGACATCTCCCATCACTTCCTCTTCATTAATGTAAGACTATCTTTTTCGATGTACTGTTATATCTCTATTTGTCTCTATCTCTGGCTTGTATCACATTAACACCCAGGTTTCTAAAAGTGATTAGTGCATTGGTGAGGGATGTGAGTTTCATTTGTTCATAACATCTCATAAAAAAGTAGTATGTAACATGGCTTGAAATTTATGTAAACTAAAGTAATAACAATAGAAAAATCTATGATGACCAGAAGTGAAGAGGAGAAGAGGACATGTATGCACATGAGAAACTCTGTGCCTTGAGGTAAGGTTCACCATAGAGAACAAGACTGTGTAGGGCTTTTCTCCACGCCTTCCTTGTTAATGTAAATCAGAAGGGAAGGGAAGGACAAATCTGGATCCATCCTGTTCAGTTGGGACTCAGATAATATCTGTCTTACTTGGGGATGGATCTCTCACCTTTAACACATCTTATTTACTGTGAGTGGCATGGTGACACTGGCTTATCATTATGGAGTCACCCATCCTGTGCTTATTCTGATGGCTACCCACACTATGACTGTTCTTTCCCTTGTTCATGATGCTGTGCTGTTAGAACAATATTTTTCAAACATTATTCTCAGTGTGTCTCAGATTGGAATTGACTGATATTTTCATTGTTGTTACAAAATATTGGGAAGAAACATTACAGAAATAAAAGAATATTTCTCATATTGTATCAGGGAACTTGGTGTAATTCCAGTTACTAAAAGATTCTTGTCTTTGATTATCTCGTAGCGAGTTTGTTTCCATATGCACTACTGTTCTGCTTCTCCATGGAACTGAATAGAAGGAAATCACTGAGAAAAAATAACTAGCAAATACATGTTCATGACCATATCCCTCATTATTTCAAGTTATCTTCTTTTGGGAGATGGATCCTTATTTTTAATTCTTCGGTTGTTGTTTACTTATGCTTAGTGAACACACTGACACTCTCTTAATGTTTCTTGTTGTAATGACAGAACCTATCAATTTGTGTGGTGATTAGAATTCTGTCAACATAACACAAGCTAGGGTCATCAGGGAAGAAGTAACTTCATTTGGAAAAAGGGCTTCCATCAGTATGATCTGCAGGAAATACTGTGTGGGCACTTTCTTGATCAATGATTGGTGTTGGAGCACTCAGACAGATGTGGAATTTGTCCGCCATGGGCAGGTATTTCTGGGTTTTGTAAGAAAGCATGCTGAACAACCATGGGGAGCAAGCTGGTGAACAGATTTGTGATCTCTGATTCAATTCCCACTTTCAACCAACATATTTTA